GTAAATGGAGTATTTCTCTGCTTACTTGGTCCACAGATATGTATTGAGTGTGTAATAGTGCTGTTACTCTGATAGAATGGTGAGCACACAGTAGGCATGGTTCCTGCTCTCCTGGAACTTACAGTCTGGTGACGGGGAGGGGAGTGAAGACTAAGTGTGTTCTGGCCCTGGGTGGATATGTGTGTGGGTATCTGTAAGAGTGTGTCTTTGGCAGAGAGGGTATGTGAATGTATTTGTGGGTGTGTTGGGAGAGTGTACATGTGTGAAGGACTGTGTATGGATGGTTTGGGATATGCAAGGGTGTGTGTGACTAATGGGAGTGTGTTGTAGATGTGGAAGAGTCTATGTGAGGATATGATAGAGGTGTGTAAAAGGGCATTTCAAGTAAGGGTGCATGTAGGGGTGTTTGCACATGAATAAATGTGGGTGGGGGTAGAGGGTATATGATGAATTGGAGGGGGAAGTGTCTGTAGTGTGCGCTGGGGGCATCACTGGAGAACAGTGTTTAAGGACTGCTGGAGCTGTGCCGAACGTCTTCTGTGACTCAAAGATGTGCTGGCCATGTCTGGTAGCACTTGGGGCAGTCTACCTGCCCCCTTCCTTCCATCTGCTGCCCCGATGGCAGCACTGGCTTCTAGGGTGGGCGTGGCTGAGAAGGCCCTGGACATGGCATCCTGGAGGAGCGAAGGGATGGGGGTGCCAAGGCTCCTGCCCTATTTTCCTCTGCTTGAGGAGGAGCTGGAAGGAACCAGAGAAATGCAGTGGTATTGGGGGAGTGGGGATGTTGGGCTGGGGCTCCATGTCCGTGTGCTATTTCTTCTTCTTACTACCTGCTCACAAACCCAAGGGGCCTCAACTTCCTCTGAGAATCAAAACAAAGTCACTACTGGCCACCTGGAGCCTGTGGGAGGGGATGGGGAACTGTTTGCTTAGAGAGTGACCTGGGACCAAATTCTCTGCATTAATGAGTCCTACCCACAGCTTCTCTCACACCTGTGCATTCAGTTACACCTATGTGTACAGCACCTGTGGGGCTACTCCTCACCTGATTGAACTCTGGGGTGGTGTGGGTTCTTCAAAGATGACTGGGGCATCCTGTACCTATGATGCATAAAGTTTAGGGATTCGGGTGGCAGGTGAGTGGGGGGATGGTCCTTGGAGCTGGCTGGAGCTGGGCTTACCAGCTCCACCTCCTGCAGGCTTTGAAGCGGAAGCCAGATTTGTTCCTGTGTGAACGATTGGATGTCAAAGCTGTGTTCCAGTGTGGTAAGTGGAACCAAGTGGCAATTGGGCCTGGGACTCCCCTGGGATAGTCACTGGGCCCCATCTGATCTACCTCCACCTCTCCCACAGCTGTGCTGGCCCTCAAGTTCCCTGAGGCACCTACTGTCAAGGCCTCCTGTGGCTTCTTTGTGAGTCCTATGCTGACTGACCCCTGATCACCACCCCCACCCTGCCCAGGACTCAGAGGGTAGGGGTGTGGTGTGTGGATCCTATCCTCAGGGAGAGGTGGGAAGGAGCTGGAGCTGACAGGCCTCTCATCTTCTGCAGACCGAGCTACTGCCTCGGTGTGGGGAAGTAGAGTCCGTGGGAAAGGTGGTACAGGAAGACGGCCGTGTGCTGCTGATAGCAGTGCTAGAGGTGAGCTGGAGTAAATGGGGAGTTGGTGTGTGGGGAGCCCCTCACTGTTGAGGCAGCTGACATTGTGGGGGACTTGAACCTTTGGTTTCCTAAGCTCTAATTCTGTTTCTTCCCACAATTAAATATCTGAAAGTTATTGGAGTTGCTGTGAGGACCAGGTGGCTCTCAAAAGGCAGTGCTCACTTATGTAGTTTGGCTGTGGAACTGTCCCAGAGAGCCTGCAACATAGCCAGGCCTCGTTGCTGCAGAGGGGAAAGGCCCTGGTATACTGAGAACCCTTCTCCCTCAGGCCATTGGGGGCCAGGCCTCCCGCAGCCTCATGGACTGCTTTGCCGACATCCTGTTCGCCTTGAACAAACACTGCTTTAGCCTCCTGAGCATGTGGATCAAGGAGGCACTCCAGCCACCTGGCTTTCCATCAGCCCGCCTCAGCCCCGAACAGAAGGACACCTTCAGCCAACAGATCCTTCGGTGAGCAGAGCTGATGTGGGCCAGGGCTTGGGTAGGGAGGAGGTGGCAGTGTTGGTAGATGATGCTAACCTGCTCTCCCTTCCCTCCTCCAGTGAGCGAGTGAACAAGAGGCGAGTAAAGGAGATGGTGAAGGAGTTCACATTACTGTGTCGGGGACTACATGGCACAGACTATACAGCTGACTACTGAGGGGCACCCCTGTCCCACTCACCCCTTCCTATTCCCAAAGAGTAAACCTGGACCCTCACTGCTGCCTCTGCTTCCTTTCTGCTGCCAACATCACCTGACTGAATCCAGGCCTGATGGAAGGATGGGAGGATGCTTGGACCAGGCCTTGGTCAAGAGTGGTGGGGACATCTAGCACCTGGGGTGGGCACTGCTGTCCAAGCTACTTAGCCTGGAGCCGTTCAGAATACTGCCCTTGTTCTTAGGGTGGAGAGCTGCTGTAGAATCAGCAGCCCTCCCACTCTCCTGTTACATTAGTCTCAATGTACATTAATGCATACATTTAATCAGCAATACTAGGCTCCTAGCTCTACCATGAACAAAGGCTGACCCAGCCCATAGATATTATACTGAGTGAGGAGAATGATGAGAAGTGGCTGTATTGAGGGAGTTGAATTTCTGATGGGAATAGCACACTTCCTAGACACAGGCCTTGGGAGTCCACTGGAGGCATGGGAAGAAATGGAGTGGAAATTTGAGTTCCAGGATGGATGTGTAGTGTAGGATTTTAGTTTGGGGGTAATTTAAAAAATATCTTCAGGGAAAATAGTTTATTGAGTATGCTGTAAGAGGGCAGACAGCTGAGTAGTAACTACAATACCATCTGGAGCCTGATAAGGTGTTTTAGAAGACTTGCCCTTGCATATAGTTGAAAAGGGCTGTAGAAAGTAAGGTGGGGTGAGGGGAGCTGGAAGACCTTTCAGTCCTTGTAGGAAGACTAAGGTAGTGTTGCCTCTCAGTACAGAGGAGCTGAGCTCAACCAGGACCACGGACAGCTCCTGGCTGTCTCTCAGCAATAGTTCTGCACAGCCTGCCTTTCTGGTGCCCCAGCCTTATTTGTAAGATGTGGTGAGTGAGGCTGAATTTTCCCCACTCCCATCCGTGATATGTGAGTCCCCTTGATGGGGGGAACTGGTTATTTCTATGGGAATCCCACTCCTTCCCTGCTCTTTTCCCAACTTAAAAAAAAAAAAAAGCTTTACTATTTCTATTTTATGTGTATGAGTGTATTGCCTGCATGTATGTAAGTGCACCCATGTCATGCAATGCCCGTGGAGGTCAGAAGAGCATCAGGTCCCCTGAAAGTGGAGTTACAGATGGTTGTTATCTGCCATGTAGGTACTGGGAATCGAACCCGGGTCCTCTGCAAGAGCAGTCAGTGCTCTTAACTGCTGAGTCATCTCTCCAGTCCCCCTTTTCCCAGGTTTGCATCAATTTTGTATCCTCCATTCTTTTTCATTCAATGTCTTCATGAGCCAGCTAGCATCAGTCTCCCCTACTTTGTCATCTGCCATTCCACCCCTCTCAGTCCCGTTCTCACCATGCTTCTGATTCTTCAACTCTCCTGGGGTATGCAGAGGTGTTTCACATATTTTCAGTCCTTCTTTCCTACCACATTGTATCAAAGGGCTTTGTCCCCTCCCCCTTCCTCCTCGTGATAAATGTGTATATAAGGTAGGAGAATGTGTGTGTGTGGGGGGGTGTATCTAGGATTGGGGATGTAGCTCAGCAGTAAAACTCGTGCCTAGCATGCATGAAGCCCAGGGTTCAGTACCCAGGAGAGAGGGACTGAGTAAATGAGGGGCCTAAAGCCAGTTATGAAATCAGCGGACTTGGTTTTGATCCTGATTGTGCCACTGACCTACTGTGTCTTATTAGCTTCTTCAATACTGTTTCCTTGTCTATAAGATGGGATAATTGTTACTCCAAAGACCAAACTCTCAGACAGCTGTGAAGATAATAGCAGATGGAATATGCAGGGGACTACTTTGTAAAGTTCTGATTTTCCCCTTGGGAGGCTGGAGAGATAGCTCAGTGGTTAAGACACTCTTGCAGAGGACCTGGGTTGGGTTCCCAATACCCACATGGCCACTAACAATCGTTCATAACTCCATTCCAGGGGATCTAATGCCCTCTTCTGGTCTCTGCAGGCATTGCATGATATGAGTGTTCTGCAGGCATGCAGAACATCCACACACAAAACTAAATTAAAAAAAATAAAAATAATAATTTGACTCATGGGATGATTCTATCAATAAGTACTATTGTTAAACCTCCTGTTTAACAGATAATGAAAAGGGCATAGAGGCATTCCTAAGATGCTTGAAGGACGTGCCCAGGCACACTATTCAAATGCAGACAGTACCCACTGGGTTGGAAATTATGTATTACTATTGGAAGATCCAGGCAGAAAGGCTGCCACAAGTTTCAGGTCAGCTTTGGTTACATAGAAGACCCTGTCTCATACAAATTATGGGGTCTGCCAAATGGCTCATAGGGTAAAGGCTTTTGTAGCCAAGCATGACGGCCTGAGTTTTATCTCTAGAACCCATAAGGTGGAAGGAGAGAATCCCCCTCCCAGCGTGCACACAAATAAATGCTAAGAACAAACTATGCAGTGCACGTGAGATGCTTAACGTGACTAGCGGATAGGATAGGAGCCGTTCGCGCTGAGGTAGTGACTTAGGAAGCCCTTGTTCCAAAGGACACCTGTAGGCTGACCTGAGATCTCCTGGGCCCAGAGCGGCGGGTAGTAAAACTACGACACCCACAAGGCTCTGCGGCACTTCCGATTGGTCTTGAGTGGAGGTTCGTGATTGGTTCTTTGGTGAACAAGAGGGCCCCTGGTTTAGGATTGGTCAAGTTGCTAGCTGCACGCCTTGAACCCGGAAGTAATCGCTTAGGTCCATGTGTAGAGAAGAAACCGGAGTTTGGAGGAGGAGGAGAGCGTGGATTTTAGGGCTCGTGGACAGGCTGGTTCCCCATCCCAAAACAAAACCGCTGTGACCTTGAGGACTACTTTGAGGTGCAGTACCAGAAGCTGACCTCACCATCTCGCTCGCTAGCTGTGCTTCATGGAATCTACGTTCAGCAGTCCCGCGGAGGCAGCCTTGCAGCGGGAAGCGGGCGTTCCAGGACAGCTCACCCCTCCCGAAGACCTCCACCGAGTGTACGAGCTGGAGAGAGTCACTGGATTTATCTGCGACTTGGGGTGTCAACGGGTGAGGGCAACTTAGGGAGGGAGGGTTGGTTTGCCTCTCAGGATGGTTGCCCGGAGGACTGGAATCTTGGTGCTACGGGAGGGCTGGAGGTGAGGGAATCGGAGCCTGTCGGTGTCGCTGTACCACACGCACCCACTCCGTGGGACCGTGTGCCCTTGTGGAAATAGGGGCTTTGAAGGTTGGCGGGGGGGGGGTGCTTTCTCGTGTGTGTGTGCGTGCGCGCGCGCGTGTGTTTTGTTTGGGAGTTTTGTTGAGACGGTCTCACAATGTAGATTAAGTTGGCCTGGAGTCCACGCTGGCTTCCAACTCAGAGAGAACCTCCCCTCAAACTCAGCAGCGCCACCATGCCCGGCTCGAAAGCATTCCTTCTGGAGAGCCTCTTGGTGGAAGAGTGCGATTGTTCCTGACTTTATGGCTTGTGTTTACAGGTGGCCTTGCAGTTCCCTGACCAGCTACTGGGAGATGCAGGGGCCATTGCTACACGGCTGGAGGAGACCACCGGAGCTAAGATGTTCATTTTAGGGGACACAGCCTATGGCAGGTATGAACTCAGGTTCTGCTCAAGTGGACAAGGCCTGGGGATCCAGGCTTCATGGGGTTTCCTGTTAGGACTGTGTCTGCCTCCACAGTCCTTATTTGCATGGTGATAAGAAACTCATGCTAGCCCCCCTCAGTGACAATGAATTCTTACCATGTTTCTTCAGTGGCCTTGTTTCCCATTGATGATGGCAATTCCTCCCAGGTTGGAACTCCTCTCATCATTGCTCTCTTCCCCCACAGCTGCTGTGTGGATGTGCTCAGTGCTGAGCAAGCTGAAGCTCAGGTCCTTGTACACTTTGGCCCTGCCTGCTTAAGCCCCCCAGCCCGCCCTCTGCCCACCATTTTTGTCCTTGGTCAGCATTCTGTGAACTTAGAGCTCTGTGCCAAGGCCTTTGAAGCCCAGAACCCGGACCCCACAGCACCTGTGGTGCTGCTGAGTGAGCCAGCCTATGCCCACGCCCTAGGTGAGAGGTTGTGCCTGTAAGGGAAGGGAAGGTAGGCCCATGGCTGCATGCTTTAATTTTCCCATTTTAACAGACACCCATAGAGCTCTTGATAGGGGCTTGGCCTAGCCTTTGCTTTAGGGTCACATTTAGATGAGAGATCCGCTTTGCTAGGCTCCAACTCTGATACCACCTCCTTCCCTTTCAGAGGCTTTGGCCACTCTCCTTCGCCCGAAGTACCAGGATCTGCTCATCTCTAGCCCAGCTGTGCCCCTCCCAGTAGAGTCCCCAAGTTCACAGCCTGAGCCCCTAGAGCGTTTTGGCCGCCGCTTCCCCCTGAATCCAGGGAGGTGTCTGGAAGAATATGGTGCCTTCTATGTGGGGGATTCTCAAACCAGCCCTGACTCCAGCCTTGACCCAGATCTGACCAGGCTGCTCTTGGGGTGGACACCAGGGCGGCCCTTCTTTTCCTGTTGTCCAGACACAGGACAGACACAAGACCAGGGTGCCCGGGCTGGGCGTCTAAGAGCACGAAGACTGTATCTGGTAGAGAGGGCCAGAGATGCCCATGTGGTAGGGCTACTGGCTGGCACATTAGGTGTAGCCCGACACTGTGAAGCACTGGCACACTTACGGAAACTGACTCAGGCTGCTGGAAAACGTAGCTATGTGTTGGCTCTGGGGCGGCCCACCCCTGCCAAGCTTGCCAACTTTCCTGAGATGGATGTCTTTGTGCTGTTGGCCTGTCCTCTCGGAGCCCTAGCTCCTGAGCCTTCAGGTGGCTTCTTCCGGCCTATATTGACACCATGTGAATTGGAGGCTGCCTGCAACCCTGCCTGGCCACCTCCAGGCCTGGCTCCTCACCTCACACATTATGCAGAGTTATTGCCTGGTGAGTGGTGGAGCCCCTTCTCAGCTTGAAACTCGGGGCTGGGAGTTGGAGTCCAGAGCCAGTATAGATTGCCTTTCTCCATTCCAGGCTCTCCTTTCCATGTGCCACTCCCATCGCCTGAGTCAGAGTTGTGGGACACCCCAGATGTGTCACTCATTTCTGGGGATCTCCGACCTCCACCTTCCTGGAAGACATCAAATGACCCTGGATGCTCTGCCCTAACCCCAAGGCCACAGATGGAGCTGGCTGAGAGCAGTCCTGCAGGTAAGTCCTATAATTCCCTACTCTCTGGTGGATTTCTTTCCAGATCCAGCCCACTCAGCCTGTGCCTCATTCCCTTTACAGCCTCATTCCTTAGTTCCCGGAGCTGGCAGGGACTGGAGCCCCACTTGGGTCAGACACCAGTGTCAGAAGCTGTGAGTGGAAGACGAGGGATTGCCATCGCCTATGAGGACGAGGGAAGCAGTTGATACCATGTGAAGCCAGAGAGACAGAGCAATTAGTCTGCTGGGATTTGTAGTGCTCCCTTTATCAACTTCTCATCAGCATGCAATGATCCTTAAAGGAGCCTGGACAGAGAGAATTCAGATAGCCCCTCATTGAGGATAGGATCCATGTCTATCCTGTCCTGGCACTGGCTTAGTACTTATCAGTTCAGTAAATGCTGTTTGACTAGTAGGGGGAAAGGCTCTTGGGCTTTCCTGAGGCCTTCTGGGTCCCTGGGAGCAGGCTGGGACCTGTGGCCAATTGCAGTTCCTGGTACAGGTCTGGCCTTGTTCAAGGGCAGGAGTTAGATGATCCAGACCAGGGTGCCTCAACCTCAGCACTGGTGACATTTTAGGCTGGGTAATTTTTTATTGTACAGGCTGTTCTGTGTATGGTATGATGTTTAGCAGCAGCCACAACCTCTGCCCACTGGGCAGAAGCATCTGTCTCCATCTATGATAACCCAAATTGTCTCCAGATGTTGGCAGCTGTCACATAACTGCTTGTAATTGACAACCACTGATCTAGACCTGCACTGTCCAGGACAGTATTCAGTAGACACATGTGGCTATTGAAGTTTAAAGTAGATGAAAAGCTTAGTTTCCTAGTCACACTAATCACACACATTTTAAGCACTCACATAGCTGCATGTGGGAACTGTGCAATTAGATGACTTTTCCATCACAGAGGCGCACTGGACAGTGTTAGGCTACCATGACTCAGACTTGCTCCTCAGGGACACCAAAGAGACTGAAATAAACCAAATATTTTTTTCTCATGTTTCTTTTTATTCACCAAACTTCAGTTCTTTACAAATCCTTTGGGTGGAGATGTGAATTGTATTTAACCAAATTCCTGTCCTCAAAGTGTGGTTAGGAAGACACAGTTAAATATGTAGTAACCCCATTAAATAGTGCTGTCTGTGAAGGACGCCCCAGGGGCAGCTGGATCTCATAGCAGGCACTTGATGGGGGAGTCAGAATGCTTCCCAGATCTTGTAGAGGAAAAAAATGAGAAGAAAAGGGGTAAAAAGAAATTTGGGCGTAAACATAGACATCAACTTGGTGGGTGCTTCAACCAAAGTGGAGTTGCCAGGGGTTGAGGGGTAGCTTGGCAGTGTACTTGCCTAGGATGTGTAGTCCCTGCGTTTCAACCCTCAGCATTGGGGGAAAAAAGTGGTGTTGTTGGATCCCGGGAAAACAAACAAAATTGACCTATTCATTCTCCACATTAGCTGAAAGTCTTATTGACATTGTCTAGATCATGCAATGCCCAGTCTAATGGTAGAGGCAGAACTGCAAACTGATCATAGGAACTGAGACAAGGTGAGAGCCAATCATGCATTCTACAAACACGTTCTGAGGACCCAAGTCTGCCAGGCACTAGAAATACAGCAGTGAAGGGCTGGTGAGATGGCTCAGAAGTTAAGAGCACTGGCAGCTCTTACCAAGGATACAGGTTCCATTCCCAGCATCCACATGGTGGCTAACAACCATCCTTAACTCCAGTTCCAGGGGATCTGATCCCTCTTCTGACCTCCCTGGGCATTGCATGCATGAGTGCACTTACATGTAGGCAAAACACTCATATACATAATGCAAAAATAACTTAAAAGAGGTAGAGTAGTTAAGTACAGAATACAGAAATCATGATGCTTCCACTTCTTAGAGAGGATGGGCAAACAGAAAAAATAAAACAAGAAATTTAGCATACCAAGGGATGATAAACAAGAACTTGGAAAACAATGCTGGGGGAGAGAAAAGGAGTGTTTAAGGGAGACGGATTGTAATTAAACGAACCTGGCAGGGAAATCCTTGGAGGTGAGCAAAGTGGAAGTTATAGAGTGAGCTACATGAATAATTATCAGGACAAAGGGAACAAATACAAGGGCAATGAGGGAAGGGTATGACTGGCACTTTGAAGGAATAGCATCGACGGTAGTCCAGCGGCAGAGTGGAGTAGTGTTAGCGTCCGGGGGTGGACATAGCTCAGGGTAGAGTCCTAGCACTCTTAAGGATTTTTCTTTTATTCTGAGTGAAATAGGAAACACAGGCTTATAAGAACCTGAACATCACGAGAGTCCACAGTGCCCTCCCTCTTGGGTGAGGGATGGCATCCTGGAAGAATGACTTCATGAGCACCAAGTACCTGTTTCAGGTAGAGGAAATTGTTCAACACCCTTCCGGAACTAGACAGAACGAGAAGAGGCCCCAAGGATCTGCACTGGCTGGAGGCTAAACGCGGGAGGCCAGTGAGCAGGGTAGAGAAGTGGCAGAGCGTGTGGAGACGCCAGAGGCACCGGTCGGAGATCTGGTCCCTAATGAGGACAGCTCCAGAGTCCTCAGCGGCCAGACTACAACTACCACGGTGCTCTTTGCGGGCCGCCGTCGCGCTGGAGGCCCGCAGCTACTCCGCGCCCCGTCGGGAGGGGGGGGTGTCACGTGGAGCCTGCACGTCACGTGGGCCGGTCAGGTGGCGCTGCGGGGCGGACGGTGGACGCCGGGACGCGGTTTATCTCTGGTCCTACGGATCCGACCCCTGCTGTCGGTGCTGCCATGACGGGGATAGCGCTACTCTACTCCGGGGTCTTCGTGGCCTTCTGGGCCTGCACGATCGTCGTGGGTGAGGCCGGCCGCGGGCCGCCGCTGGGCGGGGTGGAGTGCCGGGACGGGTGGCAGCGGGAAGCCGGGCAGGCCCGCGGCGGCGGCGGAGGAGGCTGGACCCAGGAGGCTGCTCGAGGGGCGGCGGTGGGAGCGGAGAGCCGCACTAGCCCCGTTCTAGGGTCGCTGCCGCCGGCTCGCTCTAGCTCGCGAGCGGCCTACTTGGGTGGTGAGCCGGCCGCTCCGGTTCCTGTTTTCCCGTGGGTTTTCCCTTCCCCCTTCACAGCTTGTTGGGCAAACAGCGACCTGGCCGGCGGGATCTGGTGCGGCCTGGCTCCCTCCGGATCCCAGGATTTTCAGGCCTGCGGGGCGTGTCTGTGGAGGACTTGCTGTCATTGGGGGAGATAGGTTGCCTAGGGAGTGGCAAAAAAAACAAAATGTGGCCCGAGCGTTGTTGTCTGTTATGCGTGGGGTACAGCCCGGCACTGTCGTTTGTCTTTCATGTAGGTGGCGGTCACCCGGGCATTATCTCTCTAGGTTAGGGAGCGTCTCTCCAGAGAGCAGCCCTAACCCTATTTTTCCTCGTTGCTGCAGGAATCTGCTACACGATTTTTGACTTGGGCTTCCGTTTTGATGTGGCATGGTAAGGGAGGGCAAGGAGAGGATTCCCCCCAGGAGCTCCTGTCTTCTGTAGTCTGAGCCTTTCCTCAGCTCTCTGGACATAAGGCCCTTTGGGAAATATGAATTCTATTCGTGCATCATCCCGGACCAGTTACCTGGAGTGGGTGGGAAGCTAAGGGTTTTGTGTCCACTTCCAGATCAGAGCTGAATGGCCTTCTTCCCTGTTTTCACACCAGGTTTCTGACAGAGACTTCCCCCTTCATGTGGTCCAACCTGGGCATCGGCCTAGCAATCTCTCTGTCTGTGGTCGGGGCAGCCTGGTGAGTGTTGGGATGGTGGGACTGGGGGAAGGGGCTGAATCATTGCAGATGGTGTCACTAGGTTCTTAATCATCCTGGGGACAGTGACTGCTTGGGTTCTTTGCATCAGGTTGCTATCCTTCCACAGGGGTATCTATATCACCGGCTCTTCCATCATTGGAGGAGGAGTGAAGGCCCCCAGGATCAAGACCAAGAACTTGGTTAGGTAAGTGTAAGGGCCCTTGGTTGTCAGAACCAGCTGTCGTGGAGGTTCAATGACGTATTGCCTCTGACCCGTCTCCTCACAGGGTGGATGTGAGTCAAAGAAAGTTGGCTGGGGAGTTTTCTGGGGAAGAAGGCTGGTTTCCTTCTCTTCTCTCTTCTCCAACCCTCCCCCAACCTTTACCATTACTGTTGCCAGCATTATTTTCTGTGAGGCTGTGGCCATCTACGGCATCATCATGGCGATTGTCATTAGCAACATGGCTGAGGTAAGGGAAGCCCACAGTTGGGGGTATCCACTCCATCCTATGTGTCCATCGTGTCCTATGTGCTGTCTATAGGTTGGGGAGGGGCAGGTGCAGAAGGGGTGATTTCTGATGTCTTATTTTGTCCCCTTCAGCCTTTCAGTGCTACTGACCCCAAGGCCATTGGCCATCGAAACTACCATGCAGGTAAGTGCATAGCAAAGGCTGGGTCTTCATTATCTGCTCCTGGCTCCTTCCCAGCCTAAGACTCCTCATTTTAATGTGCTCCTAGCTGCTTTGCTAGGAGTTGGGGTGGGAACTGGTCCCATTCACCCATGTTAGGCCCTTATCTTCATCACCTTCTGTGCTTGCCTTGGCCTCACTGAGCTGCTTTCTGTCTCCTAGGCTACTCCATGTTTGGGGCTGGCCTCACAGTAGGTCTGTCGAACCTCTTCTGTGGAGTCTGCGTGGGCATTGTGGGCAGTGGGGCCGCCCTGGCTGATGCACAGAACCCAAGCCTCTTTGTCAAGATTCTCATCGTGGAAATCTTCGGCAGTGCCATTGGTCTCTTTGGGGTCATTGTTGCAATCCTTCAGGTGCCAGATTCCCCTGGGGAGTTGTGTCCTTGTCCCCACCCTCCTTCCAGAAAAACAGAAGTGCTTCCCTTCTCTACCCATAACTGTAGAAACCCTAAACAGTTTCTACCACATTCCCATCCAACAGTTCCTCTTGTCTGTTGCTCTGTGTGTGTGTGTGTGTGTGTTAGCTCACCTTTAGCCCTCCTTTCTGTCGTTAGTCATTCTTTTCCTCTACAGTCTCTGGAAGTACAGATGTCTTCTTTGTGGTCTAGCCTGGGTTGGGATTGTCTGCATCAGTCTGACTTGTGTTTTCTTTGTCTCAGGGTCTTTGTGCATCTGTGTGTGACATGCCTGTCAGAACAGCATGTCTGGACTGTGTATTTTGTCATACAGTGTGTGGGTCTGTGACTGAAAGATCAGCTTGATGGTATAAACTTGCTTTTGGGTGATGGCCTGGGTTGATCTGGACTGTCCAGATGCTGCTTCTCTTCCTCACCTTGTCCTGCAGCTGAACTCTGTTGTTGCCTGGTTATCGCTTCATGTGTCTGTCCTGATGTGGTCATTTATTTGTTGTGGTATGTCCAGCTAATCACTGGCTTGTTGGGTCTGATCTTATCATTGGTCAGTGTCTTAGCTATTTCCCTGCCCCTGCCTGATTTCTCCTGTTCTTGTTTTGCAGACCTCCAGAGTGAAGATGGGTGACTAGATGCTCTGTGTGGGTGGGGCCGTGCCCCACTGTTATTTATTGCTGTTTTTCCTGGGACAGCTGGAGCTGTGCCCCTTAGCCTTTCAGGGGCTTGGTGTTCCGGGTCCTCCTGCACTCACCTGTTGCTGCCTGTTGACTTGGAGGCACTGCAGTCCAGGCTGAACCCCCAGTGTGGGAGTGGGCTGCTGATAACTGTGTGTGCAGCTGTGCACCTGTACTCCCAACATCCACCCCAATCCACCTTCCCAGTGTTTGTGAAATAAACATGGTATTTGTCCTGGTCAGTGCAGCTTCTGTTGTCCCTTCCTCCACCTTCAGAGAAGAGTAAAGGGCCTGTGCACTCATGCCAGCCTCTGGTCATCTTTCTGACTGTGCACACCATCTCTCCTCTGGATGGTGCTGGCTCCTAGGTGGGGAGGTAAGGGTGCTGGGCTGGCTACAGTGCTGCAGGCTTCATTGAAGAATCTGGGTTCTGGGATCCTCCTAGCCCCGTGTCCTTGGATCCCTGTCCACTATGTCCAAAATGGCTGCAGCTAGTTTGTTCTACTCTCAGGTGTCCTCACTCCCTACACCTGGGACTAGGAGTCCATTCTCCTACCTTTCTTGATAGTCCTGTACCAGTATCTAAACCCAACAACCTCTACTCAGGTCTTAATTCCTGGGGCCCTGTTCAGCTCTGCCCCTCCCTGTCCAATTCTGGTTTTCTTCTAATCTTACCCAACCTCCGGTTTCCCCAGAAGCCCTAGCCGTCTCCAGGACTGGCTGACCTTTAATCATGTGCCCATGAAAAAGCTGGAAACCTTCTAGCTCCCTGGCCCCGTCGCTACCCTCCAGACCCCACCCCAACTACCTGAAGGGCCTAGCCAACCCCTCCCGGCCTCTTCCCCATCCCTAAGCCTAACTGGCGAGGAGCCTGCCGGATTCCCGACTCCTCCCAGGTCGGGGCCTCGGCGTCGCGGGGCGCACTGGGCCGCGCAGGGCCGACGGCTGGGGCGGGAGCTGAGCGCGGCGCGTGCGGGC